AGCACTCATGATGCGGTATACCTCACTGCCGCATTTATAGCTACTCTGACGCAGCGTCAAGGTCTATCCCCTTAATATTGAACCACTTCTTGGCCAACCGACTACTCGTTAGCTGGGGTGCTCCTTACAGTGGTATTGAGTGAGCAGGACTAAAGTTGAAGCAGTTGTATATCCATGCGCCCAGACTTATAACACAGCACTGTATTGTGAATTAGTGTCATCATGTACTTACTGCAAGGACTTCTTCTTCGCATAGATCGTGTAATAGTCCCAGAAGTCACGAATCCAAGATATCACGCTTATTGAACTTGTAACCGTTATCTCGTCAGGAATGTAGAAACTACGTGCTAAGCGGTTTGCATAGTGGGTAGCAATTCGAAGACTTCGTGATATTTATACTACATATAGCAGAAACCCAAGTTGCTCGTGTCAATCTGCAGCTTCTCCATCTTATCCACCATTTCTGCCTCTTGCTTCTTGCACTCTGCATTACGTGCCCAAATTGCCCTGGCTCGAGAGGCCCACGTGGAGGGCTCGGCCTCACGCGCCGTACAGTCAACCTCTTCAATCTCCGCGCACGCCGTGCAAAGGCCCAGCCAGCACGCCGGCGCTAGTCTCTTGGTCGGGCCCTTGGGTGGTTCAATAAACGCTGAGTTCGCGACTTGGCGGTTCATTGGGCAGAAGGCTAGAGTTGGTCGGTGAATACGCTTGTAGGCGGCCGTAACGCATGCGTTGAGTTCGTAGTTCTCGGACAAGTAGGCCATAATATCTCTCATAAGCAGTCGCGATGGGTGCATGGGATCGAATGGAAGTCCTTCCCTCATAAGAAGTTCTTCTAGTATCATGCACTGCCGAGGGTGATCGACGAGGAAGCCGACGAGGCGGTTGGTGAATCGAGTGGTGCCGGGCAGATTGCGACGCTCCCAGATTGCTTGGACTTGCTCCACGGGCAGTTGGAAGTGTGAGTATGCATTCGAAATGCTTGTGTCGATGTAGCGGCCGTAGTCTTCGCACTCTTGATTGAAGCCGAAGAAGCTGAACGCTTGGAAAATGTCGATGCAGTGCGATATGGTCGGTCCAAGTTCAATGGGGTGGGATTGGTTGATTTGGGTAGATTCGCACAGCCAGGTGATGAGGGAAGAGACACCATAGCTGGTCAAGCTCTCTCTGCGGAGTCGTATGATATCCCCATTAACTAGCTCTTGCGGAGTGTCCGGTCCTAGCTCTGGCCTATGAATCTTCGGCGTCTCGCGATTCTCATCGACATGGTAGAGATAGTCGAAGAATTTTGGGCAACGCTGGGACAGGATGTTGATGGACGCGCTGGTGATGTACTCGTAATCAAGCCCAATGTAGACTGGCACGATTTCGATCTTCTGAAGACTGGCAGGAGTTGCGGCGGTGACGATTGGTGACTTGATGACTAGAGACATGCCGATTGTGGGAACTGGGATTTTGGGAGAGATGGACTGCAGGACTCCGTTGAGGTCGCAAGCCGAATTGGCGCTCGATAGATCAAACATGCTCTCAGACTGGGCTGTTGGTCGCTGAAATGTCGCTGGATTGAAATAAGAAAGTCAGGTCAAGAGTACTGCTTGAGATCCAAGGAGGGAGTTGTCGTAAAGAAGAGTCTTGCACCAGGATAATTCGAGAAGTCATTTTGAACTCGAAATCTGCGTTATTGAGTCTTGCTATTGTGATCTTGCTATTGTTCTGGGTTCGTGAATAAGAACTCGCTTAGCTGATCGGGCAGTCTCCTCATTGGCTGGTCCGAACACAGGTGAAGTGCACCCACGTGGCCCCCGAATCAAGCTGGAAGATTCTGCGTAGAAGACTGTCTTCGTCATCAAATCTACCTTGATTGCGAATAAGAGTATGTGCGCTATGATTTTGCGGAGTCTTCGTCTGTTCTTGGAATCAAAATTATCGACGGCGTGAATTGGACGAATGTATTGCATTGGGAGAGATTTTCCAATGGGGATACGTTGCTACACAGTTACCATACCTAAAGGTAGAGAGGCCAGACCTCCTAGGTAGTGAAGAGTAAGCCAAACATCTGAGGTTGGGGGGAAGCCTTCATTGGCACTTCTTACCGATGTCTTCGCGGCATTTGGCCCACTCACGCAACTTGGCAGGGCACTTTTAGTGTAATCCAGGACGTTGACAACAACTCGTACGACGAAATCACCACTGTTCAAGTCGTCCCAGTCACCGGCTCTGTATTCGTTTCCATCGCTTTGGTGTTGTGCCGTGGTAGTCTATGGGTCTTGCGGATTACAATACACGCGCAAGCAGAGAGTCGCCAAGGGTGACATAACTAACGAATGGAGAAGCGGATTCGTTGAAAATAATGGCTGATTCGAGGCCTTCATTGCATTGGTGCTTAGTAGGTGAGCTGAGTGCTTCTGGCGTGTTAAGACGAGATACAATGGTTGATCTTGATGATGTGACGTCAGCGACAGTCCGCATAGGTAGGTGTGCGAGAGTCAAAGGAGACGCATTCAATTACCAGCTGACTGTGCACGGATCCTCGAGTCCCACTTTCCGGATCAGAGGCTCTTGTCACGAACAGAAAGACGAGAATGCATGCATGGTGCAGAATTGAGAGAGAGAACAAGGAGCTTCGTTGATAAAAGATCCCGTTGATGCCCAATATACAACATACGCCGTGAGTATGCCCTTTCCTCCAAAGAATGGGGTTGTATCATCAAGTGAACCTGACGTTTCCACCTTGGCGACGCGAGTCCCAGTGCCTCTGATCCAGAGTCATAGCCAGTTCCGAGAGTCGAGAAATCATCAGGAAATCCCCCGCCGCTCCGTTTTGTCCTCCTCCGTCCCCTTCCCTTCGTTGGAATTGTCTATGTGGTCGGGTTGGGGTTCATCTGCACGAGTGTTAGACTCCGGCACATCAATATGTGATGGCATTCAGCTTGTCCGTACCTTTCGCTTGCCACCGGTCATCGTGACGTTCACGAATCGGCGGGTATAAGTTATTCTCTTCTTGGCGCGGCCCTTGGGGGTCTTCTTCTTCTCCTGGGGTTCAACCTGCAAGATTCTCGTCAGCAAGTGTTGCTTCCAGCACCGCTGCGTTCGTGTGCGCTTGGCCCCCATCTTCCATCACCGCATCCGTCCTCCATCTCTCATTGTGTTGGGCTTAGCGTACCTTTGGTGTCTGCGACTTGACCTTTCCGGCACGAGCGAGGGATCCGTGGACCTTTCCCATGATTGCGGTTTGTGGGTGTCGGGTTCTTCTGGGTGGCGAAACAAACGTTAGCCGGTTGTTCAGAGAGGTGCGAGAAAGCGCAAATTCAGAGGGCAGCAGAGGAATGTGAGCGTTCCTTTGAGATGCCGGGGTAGACTTACAGGATGGACGACTGGTGTCTTGGTTGTAGGTAGTGACTCCTTGACGCTGGAGACGACGAGTTCAAAATCGCTGTTGGATTTAGCCGAGAGCTGAGTCATCGTTATGTCTGTGTAACTTAGCTAGCGTGACTGATAATGCTCAGCCCGGTATGACGCTTACAGTGCGGAGAAACGACTCAGCGCTTTCCTCCTATGTGCTAATTTATACTACACAGCTTACTTTAACATTGTTACTCACTTGTGGTAGGCAACGGCCTTAATATAGCAAAACTTCGTCACCTGCGTCTTCTCTTTTTTTAATGCGAGCAATTATGAACAGTTCAAGAGTATCATCTCTATCGCTCAACATCAACCATGCAACACTTCTAAAGAACACTTTACTTTCCGACATGTCAGCCTCTTTCCAATCGTGCCGTCGCGGAAAAGCTCCCAGGGGAGATTATGCATGGCACATGAGTCAAAGCAGCTTATCAATTTGGTATTCAATGAAACTTGTGATCCCGAAGACCATGTCTGTCCTCTGAAAGAAAGTGGAAGAAATGGATGATGCTCGCGATGACATCGAGAAAGGTCCTATCTTCTCAACTGGCGTTGCCGAAAAAGCCGGTGAGGAAAGTAAGGAGGTTGCCGAAAGAGGAGGCGATATCACTCGGTTCCAGATACAAGGTCAGTGGTATCGAAGATGAGGCGGCGTATAGATCTGGATTGGTACACCTAGTCCGAGGACCTGAAGACATTGAAGATCTCCCTACGCTGGTAGAGTTGTGGTGCGTGAAATGGAAAGAGAACAATGTTTATCAAGCAGGCAGAGGCAGAGCCGCGGTAAGAGTTTCGGAGGGCCATTACCCCTACTGGACGAAGGAGGAAGCCCCCGTTACCTGGAATATTTCGGCTGTGTCTCAACTGTGGTCGACGAGTCTGTATGCAACCGATTGATAGATCGATCAGGTTAGTTGACGTGTTGTAAAATGAATATAAAGCTATAAGGTCTTTGCCAAAGTCGGCCAAATGTGGTTCTAGACACCTATGTTCTAGATGAAGGCGGTAATCATCGTCACTCCGTTTGTAGACTCGTGATGGCTAAGTCACCGAATAACTGAAATTGTCACAATGCGAATACATACGCGTCTGCTACCGGATTGGCATAGTTACACACATGAAGAATTCATCTTCAGCTCCTAGGTTAAAGAGAAGCTCAGAGTGATTTTGATAGTCGCAAAATATTGTATAGATGCGGAAAGAATATGAAATTAGGTTGTGTGCTAAATAGCCTTCCTTGTAGTACATACGCAGGGGCAGCTGACTGCGCAGCATCGAGGTTTAGTTGATTTTCATGCGCATCCGATCGAGATACTGTCTTTCTAAGGGAGCGGCGAGAGAGGGTACTCCAGTCAATCGAGTATTCCTAAGCAACCTATGTGATGTTCTTGACCTCTACAATTTGATTCATGTTCGAAGCAATTTGGAATCAGACTGGCGAAGTTGTGAATCTTTTGAAGATAGTAGTGGTGACACTCAGTTCCATACACTAGCTGATTGCCGCATATAAAGTGGGGTAGACTTAGAATAGGAACAGATTCTCCCCTGAGTAACATGATAGTACTTATATTGTAAAATTTGCCTCTACATTCATATACGGTCGCGTGGTGTAGTTGGTTATCACGTTCGCCTAACAAATTAGTTCCGCGAAAGGTCTCCAGTTCAAACCTGGACGTGATCATTTTTGCTCTTTTTATTGTCCATTGCTATCAATTTGGACCGCTCAGCACGGATTTCTTGTACGCCGAGAGCGATGCCAAATTGCATTCAAATTCAAGATACTGTCCATAGATTTTGCTAGACCTGTTAAGATCAACCTTTAGGAGTCAGGATGCACGTGGCGCTATCGGAACGGCAAAGCTCGGCTCAACTCCACCTCAGCTCCGTTTCATGATATCAACGACCTGCTTCCTGCGTCACGCTTCACGCTTCAAGCTCTCTGTCTTGTTTTACTTCTTATTTAACTCTACTAGTCAATCTACAGCTTCTCGTACCTCTTCACAGCTCACTAAACGCTCCGGCTGCGGTCAACGACATTCGCCATGCACCTCTCTCTCGCCTCACTGCCCCTCCTAGCCACCCTCACATGGGCATCTTCGCTCCCCTCCCCTCAACACATCTTCTCCAACCCCGAAGACCCTTCCTCGACAGGCTACCGCATCCCCACCGTCCACGAGTCCGCGATCCAAGCTCGTCGCATCCTCCACCTCACCTCCATCGGGACCCTATCCACCATCTTCCCATCCTCCCAGCTCCCATGGCCAACAGAAAACCGGCCCTCAGACGTCGCCGGCGCGCCGATCGGACTCATGGACTACTTCGCCGACTGCGAGCCCGCTACGGGCAACCCCACCATCCTCGCAATCTCCATCGCGACCTCGTTCAAGAACGTCGCCGCGGGGAGCAACATCACATTGTCCCTGCGGTGGGTCCCGCCGTTCTCGCACTTCAAGCCTCCGGCGCACATCAGCGCGGCTGCCCTGCCGCGGTTTTCCCTTGTTGGACAACTAGAGGAGCTGAGCGAGGAGGAGGTCAAGAGCGGGCATGTCACCGGGTGCTTTGTGAAGTACCACCCGGACGCGCACGCTTGGCTGCCTGGAAACCGGATCCATGAGAGCAAGTGGGTGCGGCTGGTCGTGAAGGAGGTCTACTGGATTGGCGGCTTCGGCGACCGCGCGTACATTGGATGGATCCCGCTGAAGGAGTGGCAGAATGTCACGGAGGAGGAGGTCAAGCAGTGCCGCCTACCCGGCGAGTCGAAGAAGACAGACGCGTGGTGGGGATCCGCATGGATGGCATCTTTGTTCAGCGCCGAGGAGGCAGTGGAGTCGGGCGACTCGATTTGGGAGCTGTGAAACTGCACACGGCCGGACAGCCTCACGAGACGGTTTTTTTTGGATGTGGGTACATATTTTGGAAGAAATTTGTTTAGGCGTTATGACATGAGACACTATTGGGGATCTCCCGGCCCCATAGACACGATCAGGTTAAGCAATATAGCAGAAACGGGCTGAGACTCCAGCGGCCACATGGCTTATACAGGCCATTTCCCCCCTTTTCTTTCAGATGACCGTCCACATGGCGTATACAAGCATCATCCCTTCCCTCTCGAGTGCCCGTTCATCCATTGCGTGGAACTCCACCTGAGCGTCTTCCACGCAAGGCCATCCCCCACCGCCCTAATCGTCCTTCCACAACATCAGATCATGATCATCTCGCTCCCACTCACTACAGCGTTCAACCCTGCAGCGGAAGCAGCCGACAACGTCGTACTCTAAAAGCACTCAAAGTCTTTATGCCAGCCTCCCCAGCCCAATTGCCCGCACGCACACCTACTGTCACAGGAAACCCATCCATCCCACCACGACTCGTGGGCCGCCTAAGACATGCCGCCCCGTTGTGTGCCCGACGGCGCACGACAGCCTCGCCCCCGCGTCACACAACCAGCCCATCCCAACCGCATCTCCGTCGCACAACCCGAGGCTCACTGAAAACGCCAGCCATCCCTCCCCCCATCCCACAGCATGCGTAGCGTACCAGCTGTCGTGTGCGTGTTCCACTCGGCGCGGATCCGCAATGCAGCCCACGCCTATCCGTCGCACCGCGAGAGTACCTTAAAATGACCTCTCGCACGCTGCCGAGGCTGGCCAGCTGCACCCCTGTCCCATCCGCCTCGATTGCTTGGATCATGAAGGGACTGGATATCCGGCTACAAGGCGCGCTACGCGCTGATTCTCAGGACCTCCCTTGTTGCCGTTGTGAAGAGCCCGGCAACCGCTAGGTTGGGCGCTGCCGCCATGACGTCGGCTTGATTCCGACACAGTGCCGGTCTGCCCTGCGTTGAACCCCGGACGCGGCCCGAAATTGGGCTGTTGGGGGTGCGGATGCTGCGGATGGGTCGTTCCCGGGGGATGATTAAGGATGGTATAAGGGCTCCATTATAGATATTGACAGGGTGATGGTGGTGCGGTAAGATGAGGGAAGTGTGGGAGGAGATGAGACGGGAAGCTGAGTATCGTAGTGATGAAAAAGAGGGGTGGGTGATCGGTCACGTGATTGAGGTGAATGAAATCAGTCTTTTGGTATGATTATGATAAGACGGTGAAAGAGATGTTGAGGTAACTTGTTCCCGATGGGAAGCACAACGGAAAATAACATTCTGATCTCTTTTTGGATGCTTTCAAGGCTGCTGCTTGTTCCGAGTCCATCTCATGACTGGGTCCTGCGAAACTGTAGGTTATGTTTGCCTGATTGCCCTAGTATTGGCGCATGTTGTTGTCAAGTCGCTGAGCTACAGGAGACACTCAAATGTTTCTGATGTTAATTGCCAAGAACTGTCGGACGTTTTCGTGAAAAATAGCTATGGAGAAACCCCCATGCAAGCTGCGAACAACCCACCTCAACTCCACATCACACAAGGGGGAAAGGGAGGAAGCAATATCAAAAGCCTAAACCTCGGGCGCCGAGAAACGGCGACAAGCGCCATCAGTTCTGTAACGCGAAAGCGAGCCGTGCCCTCGTTTCCCGGACTGATCTGCGCACGCGAGGCGGACTATTTCCGTTTGGAGACAAGAGGCGTTTTCCTCCACACTCCCTCATGCTTTTTCTCGTACAACGGCGCGGTTGGCTCCCCCGCCATTGAAGCGTGGACGTCGATGCAGCCCACGGACGGATCCGCGTCTTCCCGACGCGAGGATTGTTTGCTTTTTAGTGCTAAGGTTCGCGGCGTAGTGCAAAGGTAACCGCCGAGTTGCGCCTGCAGGCCCGACCAGTGAGTGCCAACAGAGCCTTCGCGTGGGAGGCTAAGGGGGGGTTAGTTTGAGAGTATGTAAAGGCGCTGACGCACTATCTCGTTACGTTCGCGAGGTGGGCGTCGAGACGGACAAAAGCAAAGACGGTCAGAAGCCCTGCATGATCAGTACGAGCAAGGCTGGCTTGGCAAGCACGAGGAGGCGGAAAGGCGGATAGGGTTCCCCTACTGGAAGGCGATTATCGGTTGCTTTTGATTTTCATTCGGCTGCTTGGGACGTCGGCTCGGGATGTGCTGCAAGGCTGGCGTGTTTGTCGCGCTTGCGCGTACCCGATGGATGCAGTAGTGGCCCTGGGATTCCGTTTCGAGCCTTACACATGCTGCCATGTTTGCTTCCAAAGGTTCGACTGCGGGATGTGCGGATAATGTGATATGTGACCACTTTCGTGACTGGTTACCGACCGCCAGTTCATGACAGCTGACAGGCGCCTCATCTGCATCTCGCGTTACACCGAGTGGATTGACACCTGTGCTGCGTAGCGTGCGGTCCCGTCGGGAGGATTATGTGGCGCGCGAATACGCGGATGGAAGTCATGGACTTCTGACTTTGGACGTCGTAAAACGACGCCTCTGCATAGTCGCAGACGGCTGGTGCGGCATTTATCGCACAATGCAACGCGGGTAGTAAGCGGTGCCGCGAGCATTTGAGTTTGCGTTTTGGCCTTTTGGTGTTGTACGCAATGCATTGGGTCATGCAAGGCGTGGTGGCTGCTTTCGAGGTGCTGGCGCTACGGGAAGTGGCGGGTCGAATCCAGTGGAGGTGATCGTCCCTTTTGTTCCTTCTGGAAGACGAGTCGTCCAATCAGAGACTGATGTGCAGCAAAATCCTCCGAAAGTATGCGTTTGCTGTGGTGTTAGATGTGAATATAGAGTCCAGCGTTTTGGAGAACATTCAAGGCCCGGGTGTTTTTTGTCGATGAAATAGACTTGTCGTCGGAGATGTCTCCGCAACTGCCCCGGGGTGCCCAGCGCGGGATGTGCCTTCTCGATCTTTCGATCTTCCTTTTAATCAAGCTGCATATTCATACCCTGAAGCGGCGTGCACTATGATGTCCTTTGCTTTAGCGTGTTCGATTAGTTACATCCATCACTTCTATTCATCCTAAGAAGCGACGGCGACCATACATAAGCTAACAGGTAGATCATGCCTCAAAGCAGAGGCTGGCTTCCATTGTGCTGCTGTACAGTGAGGGTGACACGTCGACTAGCATCAAGCCGCGATTCTATGTACGTTGATCCTAATTCAAGGTAAGGGAGCAGCTAAGCCGTTTCCACCAAGGCCGTCCGGATCTGTAGCGGTCAGGAAATACGCTATGCCCAGTGCCCCAATAGATCTGTGATTCTTTAGCGATCGCCTCAGGGCAGTAGTATCGTGAGGGATGTGAAATTGTCGAGTTGTCAGAACACATGTTGAAGGTAGCCAAAGATGGGACAATTTGGTCGCAGACAGCGTTCGTAGACTTTAGAAGGAATCCGTGTACTCTATTGGAAAAACAATCCATGGCACAGTGGGACCTAACGTCTCGTGGGCAGGCAGCGCCATGACCTCCCTTAAAGTAATGAAAGGGAACCCTTATTCAATGCAGCAAGGTTTTCGCGTGCCGCTCGCTCCAGCTCAATGAGTCAGTACAGCTCAACGATCAAGGAAATCCACGTTAGGAAGTATGTGATAATTTGTTTGAGCTTGGAATAATTTCCTAGGCCACTCACGATTGTATCGCATAGAGCCGAAGAGTCCATAATGTACACGCATAATTCGATGGTGGGTAATCAAAGTGGACTAGCACCATAACCGCCAGGTGTCCGACGTCTATGCTTGAAGCGATAGAAAGCCTCTTGTCTTGTCTTCTGGCAAAGCAAGGGCTGATACG